CTGCGCCCGCCGTCCCCTCCGCTTCCCGGGAACGGACCGAAAGGGACTCAACTGGAAGGACCAAACGTTATTTTTTCGCTGTTTCTTGACGTCTCCTCCCGAAGGCGTTCGCCCGCTGCCCGCGCGCGCTGGTGGACGCCGTCCCCGGAGGAGCTCGATGGAGGTGTAGATGTAGGGCTGAGGGACGGACGTGGTTGAGTGGGAACTTGGCAGTGCTGCGTTAACGGTTGGGCTCGGTGAGCTTAAAGGTCTCTACCGACCCGTAACGATTCTATGACTCTGTGCCCCATCCCTGGAAACATCCCAGGTCGGGTTGGATGGGGCTCTGAGCAGCCTGGTCTGGGTGAAGATGTCCCTGCCTATGGCAGGGGGTTGGAAGGAGATGGCCTGTAAAGGCGCCTTCCAACCCAAACCATTCTATGATTCTATCATCGTTCTTCTCTCCTGGCCCCTGGACTCCCTCAGGATCACCCATTCCCAAAAGGCTCCTCACCAAGGGCACTGAAGGTTACAGGATCGTTCTCCCATCATGTTAATGACAAACTACAGCACCTCCGACTGTCCCCAGGGTCCGACCGGCGGCAGACACTCAGTTATCTCAAGCAGCCCGGGCACTGTGTCTCACTAACAGCCTGTGTAAGGTTTGGCGTAGCAGTTTTCCTCTCCAGTGGCTCAACATAACCCCAGGCTGTCCCTCCAGGCACACAAAACATCAGGTTTGGATGCTTTGGTACTCTCTGTCAGGAGCTGGAGCTACTGGGGGAAGGAGGATCTAAGGGTCAGGCTGTTGACAGCCGCCCAGTAACTCAGCTGCCCAGTACGGCCAGGCTCAACAGTGCTCTGTGTACTTACTGGGAACAGATTTTCCCTTGACCTTCTCTTTTGCCCTCCGCTCTGATTCCGCCCCCCCCCTAAAAATGGAGCCTTTTTCTCGCTGGTTTATGGTGAATCTCAAGTGCTTTCTGGATGACAAAGTCCACTTGTCAGCAATATTCTTTTAAAAGACTCTGTTCTCTTCTCTCGGAGGCCTGCCTGACAATCGCTCTATTATCAGAGCTTTCTTGTCCGATAGATTTTTGTCCTTTCCCTCCGGGGCTAATAAGGAGAAAGGTTGCCAGCCGTCACACAGAGGCAGAGGGTTTCTACTCAAGAGTTCAGCTAAGACTGAAACCCTCAGATGGCAAACTCCGGGGAAGGGCTATTATGCTGTATGTAGGATACCATCATTTGACCACGATGAATGACTTTTTGAAGCAGAGACCATTCATCAGTTTTGTAATGCGTGTTGTTAGTTCAAAGACCCTGCTTTCAAGTCATTTTTGCTCCCAGGGCCCCCGCTGAAACATCTGACCGCTGTCACTAGATCGTTCGCTCACCCTCAGCTCGTAGTTGTGAAAGGAAATATGCTTGACATTTTTCGACAGCTCACTAATTCTCTGTCCTACCCCGTTCCCCCACCCCAGAACGTTCTCGCTCTTCCCCGTGCCAACTTGCCAGCGAGGACGGCACGTCCCTTCAGCGGGATGCAGGCATGGCTCCGTAGCACCACCTGCTCCTTCTGGCCCTCGGGTGCGCATTGTTTAAGTTTTTCAAGCCCTTTTGAAGCGTTACAAACCAAGCGCATGAACTATCAGACAGCAGTTACCGCACAGGCGGTGAGGGCTCGTTAGCGCTCTGCCATGTCATTCAGCACAGAAAGGTTGTGCCGGCTCTGGGTGCCGCGCCGGCGGTCATCCCACACCGCCCTGGGATGCGAACGTGCCCGCCTGCCCCACCGGGGCCGCTGGCTCACCCCACACCCGCCCCGGACATCCGCCCCTCGGCAGAGAGGATCAGAGATGGCACCGGGCGCTGCGGAGGGTGGGAGGCGCTCAGCGCCGCCACCGGCTCCCCGGGGGGACGCACGGGGGCAG